ATTTGGGGGGGGTGACCCTGGCCGCAAAGAGTGGGGTCCACAGCTTGGGGATACATCTGGACCTGACGCTCACCATGGAAACGCAGGTGGCGTCAGTAGTCCGTACCGCCTTTTTCCATCTCTGGCGGATAGCCTGGCTGCGGCCCTATCTCGACACGGGGGCGCTCACCACCTTGGTGCATATGCTCGTAATCTCAAGATTAGACCACTGTAATGCGCTTTACGTGAGGCTGCCTTTGAGGCTGATGCGGAAACTTCAGGTGGTGCAGAACGCGGCGGCCAGACTCCTTAGTGGAGTGAAAAAATACCAGCATATTTCTCCTACTCTGGCCTCACTGCATTGGCTGCCCATTCGGTTCCACATCAACTTCAAAGTTTTAATGTTTACTTATAAGGCCCTAAACGGTTTAGGACCTCGATATCTAGTGGAATGCCTACTCCCACCAAGATCTACCCGGATCACCCATGCGAGTCAGGAAGTGAGGCTGAGGAGCCTGACGCTGAGAGAGGCCCGGAAGGAAAAGACACAAAATCGGGCCTTCTCGGCAGTGGCTCCTCACCTCTGGAACAAACTTCCTCTGGAGATTCATGCGGCCCCTATGCTGGGTACCTTTAAAAGCCAAGCAAAAACATGGATGTTTATTCAGGCCTTCCCTCCAGTCAATAGGGGAGCGCTCTTATGGCCTACATGCGAAGCCTCATAGACCAGATGGGCAGGGTATAAATCAAATAAATCAAATAATAAATAAATAAATAAATAAATAATAACACTGATGCAGGGAAGGCACTGGAAGCACATGGAACACCAGAACCAGTAGCAAAAGCGACAGGAACCACCACCACAACAAGTGGGTGAACAGCCAGCATTACAAGCCTCCTCTGAGGAGAGCAGGGTGGCTCACGGCTGTCTTGAAAGTTTCACACTTGCCCCCCATTGGCTGTGGGTCACCTGACCCCGGTGACAGAATAAAGAGGCCATGTAGTCTCTGTGCTCTAACTCACAGGTTTGAAAAAGCGGACAATGTTCCATGAAAGCTTACATCAAAATATAGCCGTATGTCTTTAAAAGTGCTACAGCGTCCTTTTTTGGGTTTTGTTTTAGGTTTCTTGTCAAAATATTGCACTGACTTAAAACATCTACAACTCCAAAAACACTCACTCCAGCACTCAGTCCCTACTGCTCTGCACTAAGAAGCAAGAGACATATGGACATAAATCCACTTACCACCCTATCCCTGTGAAAGAGGACAACATGTCACCTGTTTTGTAGGTCAGGAGTGAAGAAAAAGGACCCTGGTATCTACCCATAGATATTTGGTTATTTCTGGTAGATGGGCAAGGATCTCTGACTCCCCAATGGTCTTACCAATAGCAGCAATCAGATCAGGACTCTCACCCAGCCCAACCTTGGCATAAAGGATTTCACGGACATATAGGACGCTTGGGAAAAACAAGAGTGAATTTTTGCCTGAAAGGTCCACAAGCACCAGTTTTGGGGATCAGAACATACACATGCGTTTAGTGTTCTCCATTTTCAGTCTATGGTCTTTTTCTTCATCAAGCCTTGGCTGAAGTCAATCAAGAGTATTCACAACAAAAATAAAATCCCCACAACCTTGCGGTCTGCCCAGTCTGCTTAGGGACACGTGCATGCCGGTGTTCAATGACGTGCATCAAGATGAGTACATGTGTTCCAGCCTTTCTTGATCTCATCACACTGACATTCCTTATCAAAAACATGGTGTTAACATGAGAGGCAAAAGTCTTCTTACACAGTACAAGCTGCTGCTGGGCTTGGAAAGAATGCCTCAGTTAACTCATTTACATCAAAATAATTATATTTGCATTAAACAGGGGGAATTCACCTAATCTTTCAGAAATACTGTTTTGAAAGGAATGTTTCAATATTTTTAAAACTTTAGATGTATTAAATCTAACATGGCATTTCTAATCTCTACTAAGATGACACAAACGGCTGCAGGCACATACTGTAGCCAAGTGATCACTCTCTATATAGTCCTCTATGTTCATCCACTATAAAGGGGCACAGATAGGGCTGAAACAACTGGGGGGGGCGGGAACAATTCTCAAGCAAAAGCAATCTCAGTTAAAATTACTTTTAAAAAAAGATAAATCAAACTGCCCATTCACATTCTTCCTTCCCTCATTTTTAAAAATACGATTATTACTAAGATCTCGACTTTTTAAAAAAATTGAAAATGAAAGGTATAAAACATGGAAGCTCTATGGTAAGAATTAAACAACCGATGAACCATTAAAAATCAAAACCAAGTTGGAAAAATCAAATTTGAAATTATCAATACCTGCATTCAAATTTCAAAATTAAAAATAAAAATAAATAAACAATTTCAGCTCTAGCAGAACTCACATAGAAACGAAGCATAATAGCAAATCTTACTACACTAGATTGAAAGCCTTCGCAAATACAACTTGATTGGGCTTGCCAAACTTTATACCCCTTCATCACCATATCACAGCAACAGAAATGATGTCTGCCTTCCTCAGTTTTCTCGAAGAACCGACCTAACACCAAGAACCACCCTAAGGACTGACCCCTGATGTGTTTCATTCATGACCTCCCCATGCTTTCTTGGGGTCTTTTTGTTATTGTTGTTGTTGTTCATCTGATTTGATCTCACAGTTTATTGTCTGCCAGTCTGCGACTCTCTATCCTTGCAACCATCATCCCCTTCTACAACTGCATCTGACGGTTCCTGGTGTTGAGAAAGACATCCAGGCAGTGCTCCAATTTGTCCTGACTGAGCAGGGGGACAAAGCCTAGAAAAATGCAGATTCCCTGCTATTCAGTTTCATCAGGCCCTCCAAGATCTCAAACAAAGTCCAGGCTTTTTCACATGGCAACCCCCCACCACCTCCATGGTTTGGAAAGAGGGATGGGAAAATATGTTAATATAAAGAGTGACACGGTTGTTGTTGGTATTGTTATTATTGTTATTATTATTGTTGTTGTTGTTTTCTTCTTCTTCTTCTTCTTCTTCTTCTTCTTCTTCTTATTATTATTATTATTCTTATTATTCTTATTCTTATTATTATTCTTATTATTATTATTAAAACTCCAGGCACTGTCAACATGATAAAAATGTTGACTGGTATTATATAACAGATACAAGTTTTAACTAATAAACCTAAATAGCTGTTAAATATCGATGCAGTATATATGCTGTTCCCAATATTGCCGTTTTTTGTAGCTCTGATGGTGGTGCTTGTTATAAACCAAATTCAACTCAGATCAAGAAGCACAGCCAAAGGGTTAAAGTGGAAGACCAGCATCCTTTGCTGGGGTGAGCCCCTGCTCAAGTGACCCAGGTCAAGTGACCCTGTTGCCACCTCACCACCACTGCCCAGCCTGGAGCTCACTGCTCCTTCAAAGGCCAATGCTAGAATAACTGACTATATGGGACAGGACCATTCATGTACAACTTGTAAACAGAATGCAAACTGGCTAACCAAGCATACACCTGCCCCATTAAGGAGCCCCTATAAAGCCACAATCTTCCCATTTGAGTCTATTTATTTATTTATTTGATTTTTACTCCCGCCCCTCTAGACCATGTCTACTCGGATCTACTCAGGGTCCTGATCCTTACAGCTATTACTGCTTGATTTCAAGAAGGCCTTGTATGCTGTGTTCCAGGCAAGTTGCCCCCAAAGTGAGTAAGCTTTCAAGTTCTCTAGAAACCTTCATCAGGGTCAGTGGTACAAAGCACAGCAGGACATATACCAAACAATGCTTGGTAAAAAACTTCTGGAGACCTCATAAACTTGCACACTTTTGTGGTATTTAAGTTGGTCTTGCCTTATGAACAACAGGGCAAACTTTGTGTTTATTTTCTTTATGTGTGTGTGTGCATGCACACACACATACAAACACACACCCATTATCTGCAGAACAGATCCTTCAATGCATTTACTCCAGTTTCCATGGGAATCACGTATGCTTCTTTGCTGTGGGTTTCACCTGCTTGAGCATTCTTTAAGAGGAAAAAGATTTTTGGAGAGATACCTGTATTAGGCTGTTTGTGGGGGGGAGGGAGGGAAAGAATAGCATCAACTTTCCTTACTATCCACTTCAGCCATAATAAGAAATGAATTGTGTAATCCACAAAACGTTTGTTTGTTTGTTTCCAAGGTGTTTGATCCCAGGTGGCTTATGTATTAAAAGAAACAAAGTTAAAAACTAAAATAAGAAATTACTGCAATGTTAAAAAAGAATTGAACAGATATCATATTAAAATGTACACTTACACCAATAAAAACCTTACACTCAAATAAATCTGTTAGGGCTAAAGGTAATACCACACTTTTGTTGTCGGTGTCCTCCCCCCTTCTTAGAGCAAAATGAATCCGTGTCATTCAGAAATCTGCACACCCAGAAATTAAAAAAAAAAGCTGAGTAATTTTTTTTTAAAAAAAAAGTCTCACCGATATACTTTCATATCCCGTTCACCCGGTCCAGTGTTTGGGTCCCCCTAACAAATAAATGCAGAAGAGAAACCAAAAATCTTCCAGCATCTATACTGCGAATTAGTTTCCGTTTTAAAGAAGCTTTCCGTGTGTCCAAGAGAATAAGCGCAGAGTCGGCCGCGCGGCGCAGCGAAGAGGCGTGACTCCGAAGCCTGTAACCGGGATTCACAGGCAGCCACGGCTTAATTCGGAGCGGCTTCCTTCCTCCCCGCCTCCCCCCCCCCGCACACTCCCCGGTCTCGGAGAGCGAGAGGACTCAAGGGCCAGGCCTACCTACCCTCGTGGCTTCCCATACCAGCGCGCACACGCGCGCGCAACCGGCTGTCGACCGGGAGGAAACGAGGAAGCCGCAAAGCAGACAGACAGACACGCGGACACCCCGGGCAGAGAAAACCTCGAGAGCAGCCCCCATCCCCCGAAAGCTACACGTGCCTTGCCCGTTTCTTCTGAACCCCCTGAGCAACAACCTGCCGGCTCCTTCCAGCCCGACTCACCCCCGTTCAGCCCATGCATCCAGGAGGAGCGCCTTCAGTCAAGTCCGCGCAGACGGGGGTCTCATAGTGCGAGGAGGCGGCTTTGGCTTGTTCTTGGCTTCCTTTCGAGCAGGAGGGAGGCGGTGGCTTCCTTAAGCCGCAAGATTTACGGAGGTTCGGCGACGGAGGGAGGGAAGGAGAGGAGAGGAGAGGAGAGGAGGGGCGGGCGAGCGTCCGCGAGGAAGACGGGCCCACAGGCCGTATAGAATGACAATAGGAGGAAATGCTTTATCAACCTCCGAAAGATCAGCCAGCCGAGACTAGCCTGGGAACAAGGGAGCGGAGGAGGGAGGGAGACAGAGAGAGAGGAGGGGTGGGGGGGAGAGGGAGAGAGAGAGAGAGCGGGAGGGAGGGAGATGTCCTGCGGGAGATGAGAAAAGTTAGCCAAGCTGCTGTGGTTCCCTCCCTTGGCAGCAGATGGTCTCCCTCCGTCTCGAACTCGGGGTCACCCGCGAGGCAGCGGGACATTACATCGGGGCCGATGATGTTCCCACCCTTGGCGAAAGTAAAGCGAGCGATCTATACTTGGCACTGAGGGGTGGGGGTCGGTTGAGAGGACAAGGAGACAGGGAGCATCAGAGCGAAGGAAGGCTGGGATCACCGAGTGTTTTTTTTTCCCCTCTCGTTTAGAGAGCCTGCAGTTCTCGCCCGCGGCCCCGCTCTCTCTCTCTCCACCCCGCTGCGCACACATTCCCTGCCGCTTCCATTCCATCCTTCCAAAGATGCTGGTGTGAGTCAAACATTTGCAATGTGTTCCCGTAATGTTACCAAGCTGGTATGCAGAAATGCAGGCGGCTTAACTCGTAAGGCCCGTGCATGCAAGGGGCTGAGGCAGGATGTTGTCACCAGAGGGCACTCTGAGTGTGGGTGACAGGCGACAACCAGACCACAAATAAAATGTGTGCCAATCACTTTCCCAGGAACAGAGTATATCAAGGGGCCACCCCCCCTGAATTAAGCCAGCGTTTTATAGTGGTTAGACTAGTTGTGGAGGGATTTGGGAGAGCCAGGTTCAAGTTACCCACCTGCTCATGAAATTCACTGGAGGAAGCCTTGGACCACTCTCTCTCTCTCTCTCTCTCTGCCTGGCCTGCTTCACAGGGTTGTTGTACAGAAAGGAAGTAGAGTGTGCTGCCATAAGCTCCCAGACAGAAAGGCAGTGTGTAACGATAACTGAAAAAAGGAGCGAGTAAATGATAAAAGAGACAGGCTCCTGCCCAATTCATTGGATTCAGTCACACCCATAACAGACCATGCTCTAAGCCACTGGTTCTTAACCTTGGGTTACTCAGGAGTTTTGGACTCCAACTCCCAGAAGCCTTCACCACCAGCTGTCCTGACTGGGGTTTCTGGGAGTTGCAGTTCAAAAGCATCTGAGTAACAAAGGTTAAGAACCACTGCTCTAAGCAGCTCCCACTAAAATATTCAAGCCAGCATGCAATTGTCAGTCTAGCTGGAGTAGATGGTTTGAGTGAATTGATAACAACTAGGAGCTTTCCATTCAGCTGCAGTCTCCCCAGAGTTTTGTAGGCATAAAGTAACCACAAAGTGGTTTACCAAGTCCCTCTCATTTTGGCGGCATGCAGGGATGCTGCAGTTTGCCCAAGGCCTCTTACAGGTGCCAAGGCATGTAACCCCCTCAGCGAATACAGGGGCTGGGTGAGCTTGGTTTTCTCGTCTCCCAGGAGGCACAGTGGCCGTAGGAGCCTCCAGACGCTTGCTCTACACACAGGCACTCTGACCCACTGAGTTAGACCAGGGCTATTGAATCAAAATGCACAACATTGGGATAAAGCCCATTGTTTCAGTCAGTCTAATTGGGACCGGGAACTGGGCTTAGGGCCATGGAGGCCAACAGGGTTTTGCCAGAAGTCCTCCTGTAGTCGGTCTGAACAGGACTGAGTAATCTTAAGAGACTTCGCAAATACAATCTTAAGAGACTTTAGCTCCTTTCCCTGACAGGGGCTCCTGGCCCCTCTGGAAGCTGGTTCCCTGGAGCCAATGGAACATTGACCCAGCTCAGGTAAATCCCAAGCATCTCCATTCCTAACCCTGGTCTCAGTCCCACCAGTGTGCTTGCCTGCCTCTGGGGGTGGGGGGAGGTGGTTTTGAGGATGAGGAACACACACACATCCTCCTTTTGCTCCCAGCTCTGCCCTTCACTACTAGCACCACCTAGCACCAGCTGCTGTGCCTTTTGCCCCACCAACCAGCCATCTCTACCAAGTATTACCCATCATATAGGGTAAATTGTGTGTCTGTTCTGTATTCTGGATAATCAGTGTGGTGTAGTGGACAGAGTAATGGACTAGGACTCTGGAGACCAGGGTTCGAATCCCATACTCAGCCATGGAAACTCACTGGGGGAGTGGAACTGGTAAAACCACTCTTTAAATATCTCACCTTGAAAGCTGTATTAGGGCTGCTATCAGTCCATTCCGACTTGAAAGCACATTTTTTAAAAAAATCTGTATTCTCCTCCTTAATAAATTCTACCAACAAATAAGTAAATCACACACCCAGTTGCCTCAGATTTTCCCAGCTGATCATTGCCTTCTAGATTGTGTGACTGACTGCACAGCTGAAGCAACTGGTTGCTCAGCAGACGACCTGGCAAGTCACTTGTTTCACTTGCCCAACCACAGTCACATAAACCAACAAATTTTGGCTCTTGATTAGCAGGAAGCATGTGCTATTCTGCCTCAGGCAGTAAAAATGCTTAGGCTGGATACCGGATGAGCAGCTGCACACATCTGAATTATACTCAGTGGGCTTAAGCTGCTTTAATATAGTAATCTCCATTTCCCACAGAGCCCTCGAAACTATATAGGCCTGTTTGTTGTGAGAGGCAGGGATGTAAGTTATGTTTTGCAGTACTTTTCAAGTCATTTTTAAAGAGCGTTAAGCATTTTGGAGACAATATAGGCTGCTTGCGTCTGTTCCAGTTTAACACTATTTTTTTTTAAATCCTAAAGTGGTTTTGAGTTTTCTTTTTTCCACAGAAAAGAAGGGGTAGAAAATCCATGAGTAACAGAACAAATTGCTTTTTAACAAAAGTATCGTTAATGTTGTTGCTGTCGTCATTTTGACTTATATACCACCCCACAGTGCTAGAGCGCTTTCTGGGTGGTTTACAACATAATTATGCAAATAACACTTTGCCCCCTTGAGCAAGCTGGATCCTACCTGAACCTGTAGGGATCAAACTCAGCTTGTGGGCAGAGGCTTGACTGTATTACTGCAGTTTAACTGCTTTGCCTTGGTTAGTGGCCATGAATGGTGAGCAATTACATGGGGCGGGACTTTGCAATGAATTACATAATCATTGCTTCCCAAAAGTAACTTTCTCAGTACTCCCAGTGATACAATGATGCTTTGGGGCCCAGCCTGTTATCTTACAATTGTCCTTTTTTTTTTTCATGATGTCTTCTGCACCCATGGTCATTTCTAGCAGTCTTCAGAGGCAGTCACACATATGACATACTATCATAGTTGTACCTGGAGATTTTCAGATCACTGGATAACTATTAGCTGGGCTATCTCTGTCCAAGAATAAAAGTAGCCATCTCCACACTGGTATCCAGTGAAAATACTCTTTGTGCAAAAGCTGTTACTTCTTGAGACAGTCGAAACTAGAAGTGGGTCAAGGACAGTGAGAGGTCAGAGAGAATTAGATGAGTTATGATCAAAAGGATTCAGAGATTAAATATAGCCAGAAGTCAGAAAAACTGAACTAGACCAAAACATTTTGCTAATGTGGAACGGTAAATACCTGGCACTCTTCAAAAGCAAAGTCTAGATAAATTGATCAGTTGATAGGTTGTTATAATTTGTATGATTTCTATCCCACTTCTCTCCTAAACATGGAACTCAAGATCTCTCACAAAAAAATAGTGCTATTAAAGGCAGATACCCAATGTGGTATAGTGGATAGAGCAATCAACTAGGACTCCTACGACTTGAGTTCAACCCCCCACTTGGTCACAGAAGCACATTGTAGTGAAATGGAAATGGTAAAGTTATGATGCTTTTAGGGTGGCTGTACGTCAGGTTCTGACTTGATGGCACACTATTAAAGGCAGATACTCAGTGTGATATAGTGGATAGAGCAATCTACTAGGACTCCTAAGACTTGAGTTCAACCCCCCCACTTGGTCACAGAAGCACATTGTAGTGAAATGGAAATGGTAAAGTTATGATGCTTTTAGGGTGGCTGTACGTCAGGTTCTGACTTGATGGCACCTAGCATAACACACACAAAAACCAGATTGATTGTTTAAATTGAATTAAATTAAAAGCACAAAGTAAAGCATGTAAAATCATAAATCTGAAAACACACTACAGTACTAAGAAAAGTCCACCATCAAATTCATTTTAAAAAAAAAAACATCCTCAGCAGCCAGAAACCTGTCCAAATAAAAAAAAAGTCCTTACCTGAGGGTGGAAGCCAAACCAATTATTTTGGCATGTAAGGCACAAAAGCCCTTTTCTCTGCCTAGCAGTAATAATACATTAATCATGGATTCTAATAGTCTGCTGCCTATTCATGATGCTAAAATATTTGCTGCCTGAAGCACCTGCCCTGTTTTGCTTAGCTGTAGAATCAGCCCTGCCCTGGGGTTTCTGGGGTCAAAGTTAGGCCATCAATAAAAGGGTGTGATTAAAAAACAGAAAGAGAAAGGTGACAGCATTAGGTGACCACCTGCTCTGGATGTTACTTACCATAAATAAATGATCAGTGTTTTAGTCTGGGTGGATTTGGAGGCTGGCCTATTTCAGTCCATGGGCTGCTTCTGAAATTCACCATTAAGGGTATAAAAGGAAGGACCCTGGACATTCTGAGTGTCTGTGGGTTATTTTTAAATTTATTAGGGATGTCTGAACTCTGAATAAGCTCCCTAATGACCTTTGGATCTAGGACTTCATAGGGGATCCCTACAGAGGTGGTTCCAGTGTTGTTGACCCATCCTTTCATAGCAGACACAAGTCCTTGTGATGTTTGATGGGGCCAGTGTGTCCTTTAACCTAGAACTCTTGTCCCTAACTGTGGCTAGTGTGATTTGTCCAGGAAAGACGTATGCAAGCAAGGCACAGGCCAGGAGGTCATTTCATCTTTCTTGCTTGTTGTTACACGTTCTCCCCTGAAAGTGAGCGGTTTAGAGGCAGCTTTACAAAGTTTGCGCTGCTTGTGGAGGAGAGACTGCTGGAGACTTGTGTTATCACTGAA